GGAGAGGCTACCCACATAAACCCGAGGAGGAGGTGGGTAGGGGCGTGTCCTTATCCTGGATAACTCTTTCTTTCTTTCTTTCTTTCTTTCTTTCTTTCTTTCTCCATTTTATTGAGATCGCAATAGTGATATGTGTGTGAGAGAGAGAGAGAGAGAGAGAGAGAGAGAGAGAGAGAGAGAGAGAGAGAGAGAGAGAGAGCATCCAGTTACCCTGCAGTCTTAGCCCCGCTTCTAACAACCAACCAACCAAACAAACCATCATCTGTTTACATCGTCAATTAACAGGAGATATTCCCCAGGTGAGATAACATGAAGGCGTACCTCCCCACCCGACCTGGAGTTAACCCGGAGTTGGTCTCTGGGGCCCTTACTCTAACCTCCTCTCACCCCCTCCACCACAACGCTGCTACAGGGTGTGTTGAGGGTCAGGTTGCCAGGGAGTTTATTTATATAATCCATCAAGAACAGCAACACCTGCTTCACAAATATTAAAGAAACAAAAACTAATTTATCTCCAATGTATTAAGTTGCGATATTTTATGTCTAAATATATATTTTTGTTTTCTTTATAATTTCTAATCCACTATGAAATAGTACGAGGATAATATATTACTGATTTTTTTTATGTCGCTATGGTAATAATTCTCTTGTAGTGAGGATAATAAGTAGTCCCCTTGAGCATTAATAATCAAGACAACATAATCACAGTAACACACAACAGAATCCGTGACTCCTCCCAAACCTGCGTATAGTTAGTGACCACCGCACCCACGCACCTAACGGATAGACGAAGATAAGAACATAACACCTAATTAGATACCGTACGTCAACTTCCCTCGCACTATATCTGGGAGGAATTATCTTAAAATTTTAACCTAAAGTCAAGAAATTACGAGAAAAAAATGAACTTGCCTAAAGTGCAAGTGTGTATTAAGATTCTTTAGTTCACCTCAAGTGTACTGACCATTACATAATATTAAAAAACGGTGAAGAAATATTGTTTACACGGGAAATTTAACTTGAATCCTCTGGTAAAGGTTAGGGTGAACTTTACGGTCTTATTTTACATAATTTTTCATCGGATATTTATTCATATATACTAACGAAAATGCGGCTAAAATTCGTCTTTCAAAACGTGGGGTTCGTGTGGTGAATCTAACTTTTTTTTTTCGTATATTTAGTGTTTTTCGTTCCACTCCCAACGGACTAAAATTGTATGCGGTAAACCAAACATTCTGTCAAACACTCCATCAAAAATGAATCAACTTTACGACCAAGGAGCAAAATGAATCTTTGTCTATTCGTTTGATTTTCACAGTGATCGATATTTCCAGGCAATGCGAGAACGACGTAACTATTATCATTACTGTGTTATTATTAAAAAATCCTATATCAGGGTCTTCCTTAAACTACACAACTTGTTAATCAGTATATATAAAACAGCCACATTGACCCTCATAATGTTCGTGAGTATAAGACAGAGCTTTAATCCTCCCTATACTTACTTCACTAGTCATCAATCGCCTTACTTCATCCTCACGTTCCTCCTTTCATGTACCTTCACTTCCTCTCTTCTATAGCCAATCCTTCATCCTCTCTCCTATTTTAAGTGACAACCTCCATCCTAACACACGTCATTTACTATCATGCCACCCATTTAAACTTAACATTTTACCTCCACCATTCCTCACACTTTTTGTTAAGAGAATTCCCTGCCTTCTCATGCCTTGTCGTCCACGTACAATTTAAGACTCCTTAATATGTAGGGGGACCAACCCACCCTTTTATTACTTTGCTAAATTATGCATCTCCATCTTCCTTTTGCCAGGGTGCAGCCTATGAGGTAAGCCGAGAACGATGTCACTCGCCAAGCTATACAGACCTTCAGATGGCCTGTCTCTCCATCACCAAGTTTAAAAAAAAAAACATCAACGCAATTCGGATGGCTCACAAGAATACACATAGCTTGAGTCACGTGATACGATGTCTGACGACTGCAATAGGCTTTATTGAGTTAAGTTTGGTTTAATTATTTACAGCACCAGTCCCGTTTGGCTCGTCATGCTGCGTGCACCAGGGCTTAGGCCGAAGACATTATGGCATTCCCTTATGCCGTAGGCGTATACAGTACTAAATTTGTCCAAATGGAAAACCTGATATTACAGCTTCGCTGAGATTACCATTGACAGGTTATTTAGGAGTATATCAGGCCTGCCTGCTTAAGATGTTTGAAACTGTCTCAGTACCAACCAGAACATGAAACCGATACGAATGAATCTAAACGTTCGAAGTAACAGCCTCAAGTTCATACATCTGAAGCAGGCAGTGCAGCAATAGCTGACTGGGAGAGTTAACGAACTTTTGGGTGAGACTGTACTATACCATGTGTGTATACCACTACTATCACTATCTACTATTTATTATATACATAAACGACATAGATATCGGCATACACAGCAACATAAGTAAATTTGCTGATGACACTAAAATAGGACGTGTTATTAAATCTGACGAGGACTCCGCAAAACTACAGGAAGATCTAAAAAAAATTTTCGAATGGCCTGAAAAATGGCAGATGAAATTCAACGTGGACAAATGTAAAGTACTCAGTATAGGAGATGTAAACAGGAAAACCAGATACCAGATGATCAACGATGCCATAGAGAAATCCGACTGCGAGAGAGATTTAGGAGTAATGATAAGTAGGAACCTTAAGCCAAGTAAACAATGTGTTTTTGCTAATAAAGTACTTGGGTCCATACAAAGGAGTGTTAGTTACAAGACTAGCGAGGTCATCCTAAAACTGTATCTTGCGCTTGTGAGACCACACCTGGATTACGCAGTTCAGTTCTGGTCACCGTATTACAGAATGGATATATAATCCTTGGAAAGAATTCAGAGGAGAATGACAAGACTAATCCCGGGCATTAGGAACCTTGAGTATAGAGACAGGTTAAAGCATCTTAATTTGCACTCCCTCGAGAGACGTAGAGTGAGGGGCGACCTGATAAAGGTGTATAAATGGAAGTCAGGGCTAAACAAAGGGGACATTACAAAGGTACTCAAACTATCCAACCAGGAGCGAGCTCGTAACAATGGTTTTAAATTAGACAAATTTAGATTTAGGTGCGAAATAGGTAAACACTGGTTTGGAAACAGTGTAGTGGATGAATGGAACAAGTTACCAAATATCATCATTAACTCGAATATGCTGAATAGCTTCAAACATAGGTTGGATGCTTATATGAGCAATAGGGGTTGGGTGTAAACGGGACTGCCCAGTATGGGCCAATAGGCCAGCTGCAGTTTCCTCCATTTTTATGTTCTTACGTGTACCGCTACTAGAATCATGTGTACCGCTATTAGAATCATGTGTACCGCTATTAGAATCATGTGTACCGCTACTAGAATCACGCGTACCGCGACTAGAATCATGTGTACCGCTACTAGAATCATGCGTACCGCTACTAGAATCATGTGTACCGCTATTAGAATCATGTGTACCGCTATTAGAATCATGTGTACCGCTACTAGAATCACGCGTACCACTACTAAAATCATGCGTACCGCTACTAGAATCATGCGTACCACTACAAGAATCATGTGTACCACTACTAAAATCATGCGTACATGTGTACCACTACTAGAATCATGTGTACCACTACTAGAATCATGTGTACCACTACTAGAATCATGTGTACCACTACTAGAATCATGTGTACCACTACTAGAATCATGTGTACCGCTACTAGAATCATGTGTACCGCTACTAGAATCATGTGTACCACTACTAGAATCATGTGTACCACTACTAGAATCATGTGTACCACTAGAATCATAGAATCATGTATACCACTACTAGATTCATGTGTACCGCTACTAGAATCATGTGTACCACTACTAGAATCATGTGTACCGCTACTAGAATCATGTGTACCACTACTAGAATCATGTGTACCACTACTAGAATCATGTGTACCACTACTAGAATCTTGTGTACCACTGCTAGAATCATGTGTACCACTACTAGAATCATGTGTACCGCTTCTAGAATCATGTGTACCATTACTAGAATCATGTGTACCACTACTAGGACCCTAGAATGTACATCAAAACCACCATTATATGTACATTCACTACCACCAACACCCCCCGCTGGTAGAATCTAATAGCCATCAGTTCCACAAAGGTATTTAACATTAACCTCGGAGTCGGGCCGCCCTAACCTGCCTCACCATAGGGTCCCATATACTGCCATTATAACAAGTTTCACCCTGGATTGTGACACCATCAGTCACCATTACCTGACAACTCATCGCTAGTTCACTTCACTCTCAGTTTTAATAGAAGAGAGTGAAGGTAATTACTGGCTGTCGTGAGTAAAATGGTGATCATATGGCATCAACAAGTTCTCTCCCCTTTCAAGAGCTGTTTCTGGAGGTGAGGTGAGCCATCTTCTCCCACTTGGTTCTCTCAGTGAGGGGCCCCTTTACTCCCTCCCTTCATCTGCCCCCCCTACACACACAAATTTTTCATTTATTGCTATAATACTAGAGTTTTTTTTTACAGATATGTGAAGCAACGAGTGAGTTATTAATGTACAAATTAAATACGTGACGATAACATGTACAAAACGCGGTATCGATAAAAGAGGAGAATTGTAGCATCCAGTTGTTAAAGGAGGGAGCGTCACCCACCAGACCGCACCCACAACACCACTCAACTTTTCCAACTTTTATTCAGCTTTCCCGCAATAGCGTTTCTGTTCTATCGCGCAAACCATAATAGCTGAGTGTTATTTGGGGAGGAGTTTTATTCATTGACCAGCACATACACAGTCAACCATCGGAAACAGCAGGATCGACTCGGATACGAGCAAGACCTGACAACATTCGATTACCGCGCCCTCCCTTGGTGCGTCGTGGGTGAGGCGCGCGCCAAGAACAAAAACATTCAAACATTTTCCTCTTATTCTGGCCTAAAATGTTGTTTATACTCACCATGTACAGGAGGTTGAAGATCATTACAAGGAACTTCAGGAACGTATAACAACAGACCCCCATGGTTGTGGATTTTGTAGGGTTTAATCCAACAAAAGGTCAGAACTCGGAGCGCACGTCTACTCGTCACGACTACTACCTCAAGACTAAATGGTCGACGAGTCCCGGTCTCGCGGAGTCGGACGACGACCAGGAATCGAGGATTCGTAAGGAAAATGGCTACGTTGGCCTCGAGCCAATATATCGCTCCTAGACAAGCTGAGCTGTCTCGTGGTTGAGATTGATAACGGTACTATTTAATATCACTTTAAAAGATAAAACTACAAAAGTCACTTATACAGGGGCAGTTAAATGAGCGCTTCTCTGTCCTCCCACAGTGTAACAACATTATTGTATGTGTTATAATGTAGATATTTTCGGTCGAATTTAATGCTACAAATACATTTACAATAAATAAGTATAAAGGATTTGATTATTATTTCATATTATGGTGAATACCCAGTGGTGTTACAGCATTTACATGAGTCACTGATTGAAAATAAATAGAAAACGTGATCGTACGTCTGGCAATAGGGGTAACTATGGTTAACAACTTACTGGAAGTAACTCAACCCTTCCTAATATTACTCTTAGTTAGGGTCATTGTCCCCAAGACGCAAAATTAATACCTTCATGAACAGAACCTCAACATTACATGTAAATTGATCAAGCAAGCAGGCAACAGAAACATACTCAGACAGTGTTTTCAGTACAGTAAATTAATATTCGCTAAAATACACATGATTCTCAGGATATAATATGATCTATCACAAATAGACACTATAAATGAAAGATAATACTGCCCGTCAACAACTAATACCTCAAACACGGCACACCAATGTTCACACACCAAGGCACGAATGGTTAGTAAATGTTCTATTAATCAACAATTAAAGATACTGATATATTCATCCCGGGTTATTAATGTAATTGTTAACGTCACAGTATTGATGATAAATAAAGTAAAGATTGGATATAATACAAATTAGGCAACTCTGGTTACTGATGATTACACGCCCCAACGCTACCTGGGTATGGGGGTGGGGACGTTAGGTTAGGTTAGGTTAGGTTAGGTCAGGTTAAGGCTATCCATATTGGTTAGGATAGGTTAGGTTAGGTTAGTGTTAGGATACGTTAGGTTAGGTTAGCGTTAGGATAGGTTAGGTTAGCGTTAGGTTAGCGTTAGGATAGGTTAGGTTAGCGTTAGGATAGGTTAGGTTAGCGTTAGGATAGTTATTCTTGAAAATGAAATAAGCTAGGGTGACTAATCTTCAGGTGATCCTATATGCAACAAGGAGCCAGAGGCCACGTCTTACAGTAACCATCCTCCCCACCTGAAGACGTAAAATTACACCTAATTAGTTGCCTTAAGCTAAAGCACACACATCACTCCTTCCAAAGTAATGACATAAAAAAAAAACACTGAGACCCAACAAATAAAATCTAATAAATTATTCAGTATATTAAATTTTGTGTTTAGTTTAACATATTACGTTTATCCTTACGTAATTAGACACAAGGAATGTTTATAGCATAACCTATTAAATATCAGGGCTTTGGGTCGATGAAATACCTAAATATAAAAAGAGAATATTAACAAGAGTGTACTTAAGGATAGCGAGTTATTGAGTATTGTTTTACATGCGTTATATAGAAGCCTGGAGTGAGGAAACGGGAACTAATGACCACGTAAATACCGTGAATAATTACTGAGTTAAAAATTAGTTAATGATGAGGTGTATATTCTTAAAGACCTGGGTGTAATGTGGAAGGGGCCACTGACAACTCACTCTCATTACCTGTGTGTGTGTGTGTGTGTGTGTGTGTGTGTGTGTGTGTGTGTGTGTGTGTGTGTGTGTGTGTGTGTGTGTGTGTGTGTGTGTGTGTGTGTGTGTGTGTGTTGTGTGTGTGTGTGTGTGTGTGTGTGTGTGTGTGTGTGTGTGTGTGTGTGTGTGTGTGTGTGTGTGTGTGTGTGTGTGTGTGAAGTCAAAGAAAAAACGATAGAGGAACACTGAAGGATAATTGGGTGAATATAAACAGATAAACACACATTATTATTATTATTATTATTTTTATTTATGTTTTTGTTGTAGTTGTAAAATTTATTTGTTTCCCAGGTCGGTCTAACGTTTTGGTGCTTTTTTTTTGCATTAAAGAAGGGAAGTTTGTTGTTATTTTTCAAGGGCCATTGTAATCTGGCAGCGGAAGTTCAGATTTCAATTTTCGATTTTTTAATACATTTCCAGATTTTTATTTTGTTGTTAATAAATTATAACCGAACAACCCAAAATGATATAACCTAGCCTAACTTAACCTAACTAAACCTCGTGTATTATTACCTAATCTAGTCTAGCCAAACCTAACGTAACTAAACCAAACCTAACCTAACCTTAGACTTCCACCAGCCAGACTACAATGGATCTGGATGTATGATGAAATAACTCTAATCTCTACATTAACCCATTCACTTGGCTTCCCTGTGTGGCGGTGTAGAAAAGGATTATTATTATTCTTTCTGTACACAATGTTGCACAGACCTAACCTAACCTAACATAACATAACCTTCACAGTCGAACGGGAAAAAAAAAAGATCATTGTTTGGTGTTATTTTTATTTACATAGAAGACCTACTAATTCTAACTGGCGGTCACAAACAAGACAAAGGCACGCTCATGTTTACACTACCCACCCCACCCTACCCACCTCACCCCAGCCTAACCCACCTCACCCACCCTCTCTCACCTCCCCGATTTGAGAAATAATAATTAATTTAAATTATAGTATCCGTTGTGACACAGTGGGTTGGGGAGGAGAAGGAAGGGGCGGTGACCTAGTGGATAGCATTTCTCGCCTTCTGTTTCAAGAGTCGTTGGTTCACGCCCGAGGCACCCAAAGTCCACCAGCTGTGAATGGGTGCAGTCTCACCCAAAAGTTCGTTAACTATCCCAGCCAGCTATTGCTGCACTGCCTGCTTCAGATGTTTGAAACTGTCTCAGTACCAACCAGAACATGAAACCGATACGAATAAATCTAAAGGTTCGAAGTAACAGACTCAAGTTCATACATCCGAAGCAGGCAGTGCAGCAATAGCTGGCTGGGAGAGTTAACGAACCATTGGGTGAGACTGCACCTAATTTTACAGTAGGACATTCTCTAGAATGACAAGACTAATCCCAGGCATTAGGAACCTTGAGTATAGAGACAGGTTAAAGCATCTTAATTTGCACTCCCTCGTGAGACGTCGAGCGAGGGGCGACCTGATAGAGGTGTATAAATGGAAGTCAGGGCTAAACAAAGGGGACATTACAAAGGTACTCAAACTATCCAACCAGGAGTGAACTCGTAACAATGATTTTAAATTAGACAAATTTATATTTAGGCGCGAAATAGGTAAACACTGGTTTGGAAACAGAGTAGTGGATGAATGGAACAAGTTACCAAATATCATCATTAACTCGAATACGCTGGATAGCTTCAAACATAGGTTGGATGCTTATATGGAAATTTCTTGAATCAATTATAGCAGATAGCATCCGATCGCATCTAGAGAAAAGCAAATTAATCTACGACTCTCAACATGGGTTTACAAAGGGAAAATCTTGTCTAACAAATCTGCTGACGTTTTTTAAGAAAGTCTTCGAGGTAGTAGATAATGACGAAAATTAGGATGTTATTTACTTAGACTTTAGCAAAGCATTTGACAGAGTACCGCATCAGAGGCTTCTGAGAAAAATTAAGGCTCATGGTATCGAGGGAAAGTTTTAAATTGGATAAAATCATGGCTCACCGATAGAACGCAGAGGGTCAGCGTAGATGGTGTTAAATCTGAGTGGGCCGTGTAACCAGTGGGGTTCCCCAGGGGTCAGTACTAGGCCCACTCTTGTTCATAATCTACATAAACGATCTAGATACTGGGATCAGCAGTGACATAAGCAAGTTTGCGGATGACACCAAAATAGGGCGGCAGATTAATTCAGGGCAGGATGCAAATGCATTACAGGAGGATCTAAATAAACTGCAGGGGTGGTCTGAAAAATGGCAAATGAAATTCAACACCAGCAAGTGCAGCGTACTTAATATTGGAAGAACAAATACTGATAATGTATACAGCCTTAACAACATCAACCTAGAGAAGTCGACTTCTGAAAGAGACCTAGGGGTACTTGTAAGCCCGGACCTACGGCCTAGAAAACAGTGCGTTAATGTTCGAAATAAGGCAAACAGAGTATGGGTTTTATATCTAGAAGTGTATCAAGAGTGCAGAGGTCTTATTGCAACTATATTTTGTGCTAGTCAGGCCGCACCTCGATTATGCGGTTCAGTTCTGGTGCCCCTATTATAGAATGGATATAAATTCACTAGAGTCGGTGCAACGAAGAATGACAAAAATGATTCCGGGACTTAGAAGCCTTCCATATCAGGATAGGTTAAAGAAACTTAACTTGCATTCCCTAGAAAGACGAAGAGTGCGGGGAGATATGACAGAAGTATTTAAGTGGGTGAAAGGAATCAATAAAGGGAATATAGATAAAGTTCTTATAATATCCGAGCAGGATAGGACTCGGAGCAACGGATTCAAGTTGGATAAGTTTAGGTTTAGGAGGGAGATAGGAAGGAACTGGTTTACAAATAGGGTGGTGGACGAGTGGAACAAGCTTAGCAACTTTGTAGTAAGTGCGGGAACTCTGGAAAGTTTCAAAAGGAGGCTAAATAGATTCATGGATGATAGAGAGTGGTAGTAGCTCCCGACAGGAGCTGCCATGCACAGGCCAACCGGCCTATTGCAGACTCCTTATTTTCTTATGTTCTTATGTTCTTATGAGCAATAGGGGTTGGGTGTAAGCGGGACTGCCCAGTATGGGCCAATAGGCCCGCTGCAGTTTCCTCCATTCTTATGTTCTTAATAAACTCTTCTTGATGGTATGGTATGGTAGTTTATTGCGACATTTAAGATAGCCATCAGAGCCAGCCAGTCCGTCATAATTTAGTTCTATAACAAAGTATCTCAGAAAAATGACCCAATATTTACAAACGGATGAAGTGTTGCCTCAGCCTCTCACATCCGTCTTAAACGTTCCACAAAATAGTTAACTTCCAAAAGTTCAAAGTTCACACTATTGA